GTCTATCTACTGTATACCCAGTCAGAATGGTAGCTGAGCCCCAGCTACTTTTTTCTGATCTCAAGTTAGATGAATCTGTGCTTTATACAGGCTTTTATTCTTTCTGACTAGGTTCTTCTCATCCTCAAGGACACTACTCACCAATCTAGGATGTAGAACACTGTTATGATAGGCCAGTTAGCCAAGTTGTCTCACAAGCCTAAGATCTCATGTGGTCATCTACTGAAAAATCAACCTTTGTACAATGGTTACTATGCTTAAACCCATTATTGTAGCCACTGTGTCCATGTATCTAAAAGTCTTCTTGATGTTTTTCACTGAGCCTTTTTCAGCTTCTTCAGGAATTGATCCCACTTGATAATATGTCCTCACATGAGTCATTTCCTAAGCTGCATTAATGTCTGTCTTTTTAATTTCTCCTGTTTCTGTTACGTTCTCTGTAATCTCTTCCCTGGCACCATGTTATATATTGTTGTTGTTCGGTGCTGTCACGTTAACAATAACTCACGGCTATGGTGTGAGCAGCAGTTCTGAACTATTCATGTGCCATTTTCATGTTCTCTGATATGCTGTACCCCACTGTTACAATCATTGCATCAGTTCATTTTGTTGAAGGTCTTCTTTTCTTATTTTTGAAGAAAGAAAGGAAAACCCTCAACACCATCTCTCCAGCATGATATATCTAACAATTGGTCCCTTTTGAAATCATACCCAAAGTGTATAAGATGAAGTTTTCTCATCCTTGCCTTTAATTAACACCCTGGTTGCACTTCCTCCACGACAGACTTGTTTGTTATTTTGACAGTTCATGGCCTATTAGGAACTTCTCTCTAACACCATGTTCTAAAGGTGTTGATTCTTCTTCTGTCCTTCGTACTCATTCATTGTCCAACTTTGAGATACTTAGGAAGTACTTGAAAATACTATGGCTTGGATCAGATGCACCTGGTCTTTAAACTGACATGGTGCACTTTTGAGTGGTCCTTGGCGGCAGATTTTTTGAGTGCAACATTTCTTTTTGTTTTTTGACTGTTGCTTCTATGGGAGCTAATTATTACTCCAACTAAAATGAAGTCATTGGCATTTTCAGTCTTTTCTCCACCTATCATAATATTGCGTATTGGTCTTATGGTGAAAATTCTTATTTTCTTCATTTTGAAATGTAATCTATATTGAAGGCTATAGTTTTTGATCTTCTGCAGCAAGTGATTCAAGTCCTCATCACTTTGTGCAACTAAGATTGTATAATCTGGATAAGCCAACTTGTTTATTAGTCTTCTTTCAATCCTCATGTCACATTCTTCGTATCGTGTTGAATGATTTGCCCACATACAGATTGAATAAGTATGAAGAAAGGATGCAGCCCAGGTAGACAAGTTTCCCCGCTTTTAAGTCATGCATTATTTCCTTGTTCTTTTCAGGCTACTGCATCTTGGTCTCTATATTAGTTTCATATGAGCACAAGTAAGCCTTCTGAGAGTCTTATAAATTCTAACCATAATTTATTATGATCTACACATAAAATACCTTTGCATACTCAATAAAACATAAGTAAACATTTTTCTGGTACTCTCTGCTCTCAACAGTGCTATCCTTTTTGCCATGGTCTCTTCTGGGTCTGGTTTTAATTTCTGACATTTCCCTATCAATGTACTGTTCAGTTGTTTTAATGATTTTCAGCAAAGTTTTATGTGCATGTTTTATTAATGATAATCAGTAAATTCCGTATTCTGTTGGATCGCCTTTTAATTATGTGACCAAACATGGATCTCTTCCAATCAGTTGGACAATTAGCTGTCTTACAGATTTCTTAGCTCAGCCTGGTGAGCGCATTCAGAGCTGCATCTCTTTGTTGAAACATGTCAGTTGGTATCCCATCCATTGCTAGGGCCTTATTTTTTACCAATGCCTTCAGTGCAGCTTGAACTTCTTCCTTCATTACCTTTTGTTCTTTATCATATGCTCCTTCCTAAAATGATTGTTTTCACCAGTTCTTTTTGGTACAGTGACTCTCTACATTTCTTTCCTTTTCTTTTCACGTGTCCAGAATCATTCTCTGCACATTTTGTCATAATACTTTGCTTTATACTCTTGAGCTGCTCCTTGAAATCTTTTCAGCTCTCTTACTTCAGCATTGCTTGCCTTTGTTAGGCGACTTTTTGTTCCAATGCAGTTGTCAGACTGTCTTCTGACATCCATGTTGATCTTTCCTTCTTCCTTTTGCTTTCTTCACAGATGATGTCCTTAATATTATACTACAACTTATCTGGTCTTTGACCACTAGTGTTCAGTGCGTAAGATTTGTTCTTGAGTCAGTTTTTAAATGCAGCTGTGATAGACTCGATCATATTTTGGTTCTCGCAAACTTGTTTTTATTTTCTTCAGCTTCATTTTGAGCTTGCACGTTATTAATAATTGGTGATTATTAGGCCCTTGGACAACTTTTGATGTTATTATTGAACATCTCTATCACTGCACTGATAGGCAACATTGAGATAGATGATAGATAGATAGATAGATAGATAGATAGATAGATAGATAGATAGAGGATTCAGATTTCATCTTACTTGGATCCACTTGGTACCAGGAATCTGGAGATCAGGAGATGTATTGCACTGGGAAAATCTGTAGTCAGGGCCCTCTCCAAATTATTGAGAAGTTATGTCAGTTTGAGGACTAAGGTGAATCAGCTTCAGATCATGGTCTTTTTAGTCGTTTGCTATGCATCTGAGAGCTGGACAATGACTAAGAATGACAGAAGAAGAATTGATGCCTTTGAACTGTGGTGTTGGAGAAGAGTGAATATCCCATGGATTGCCAAAAGAACAAAGCAGATAGATGTTGGAGAAGGTGCAGCCAGGGTACGCCTTGAAGACAAAGATGATGAAGCTTCATCTCACATACTTGTTGTGAGGAGAGATATTTTTTCTTGGAGAGGGACATCATGGTTGGAAAGATGGAGGGACTGCAAAGGAGAGAAAGACCCTCAACCAGGTGAACTGACACAGTGACTACAGCATTGAGCTTGAGCGTATTAGATTGTGATGATGGCATAGGATAGGACAGAGTTAGATGACTGTTGTTCATAGAGTTGCCAAGTCTCGCTCAACTCAGTGGAACCTAACAACAGCATCAGAGTATATCAAATGATAGAATTTTGTACAATTAACTTTTTATTCATTTCAAATACCTTTCTTTTTTCTATCATGATTGGTACTTTATTGGTTGTTTTAAAGGCCTGTACAGAGACATTATGAACAGAGACGACTGATAAGACGTGGTAGACAAATATCAGTCAAACTTGGCTTCTTTCTCTCCTGCTTCTTCAGAGGCTGGACTCTCTTTGTTTTTAGTTTCTCTGTTTTCTGCAGGTAAATCTTCTTTAGTTTCCTGGTTAGCCACTTCAACCCATTCTCCCTTTGCTCCTTTTCCCCCTTTTGTTTGCACTTTTTTGTCAGAAGACTTCTCCTCTCCTATTGTCTTTTGGGGTTTCATTTCCACTTTGCAGGCAGCTTAGCTGACAGCCTCTCTGATCTCCTCTTGGGCTCCTCCTTCACTGCCCCTTCAGCCGAGCTCACCTTCCTCTTCGACATCTTGACAGCAGGGAGGGCTTGTTCAGGATGCCTGTGGGCCACGGTGCACACAGAGCCTTCACGAAGCTGGGATGCTTGGGCCCCCCAGATGCTTTTTTCAAAACATATAAACAGGAATTATACACATGGACTTCATGTAATAGACTACTTAAATCAAATTGACATTTGTGATAAAAGTCAGTACTAATATATATAGACCCTATTAATACATTCTTGTACTGGTAGATTGGATATCGCCTCCCTTCCCTCTTCAATACATCCAACACAGTCTAACCACCAGATAATTTTACAAAACCTCATATCTCATGTCTTTTTTAGTAAATTCATAACTTTCTCTTTCCTTCCTCCAAATCTTTGTTTGCTAGAACAATTCTCTCACCTAAAATATCATTGCTGTCCCTTTCCCCTGTCTAAACTGAACCTGGCCTTCAAGGGCCAACTCAAGTATTACTTCTTTTCCAACACTTTCACAAGGCTATATGTAGTGCATTGGCTTTTCCTAAACTTAATGTCTCAGTCATTAATTTTAAGGTTTAGGCAATAAATTGTTTTTCATTGCAAGTGTGTTTGTATGTTTGCATATTTTCTTAAAAAGTTTTTTCTTGAGGTTTTTTTCCTTCCAGCTTCAGAGTTAGCAAAAGCTTAAAAGATGTAGATACTTATACTCAGTGCATCATACTAAAAGTAGATAAGCAAGTGTTACTTTGTAGTTTCTTTTATATTTAAAATCAATTCATTCCTCTTAGCAAATTAATAATACCGAATTATGAAATTTAGATTTTATTTGTAATTATAAAGAATAATCATTTCTTTAACCTGGTGATGTGAACTAATGAAGTCAGATGGTATGAGAAGATAAAGTTGGTAGCTTGTTTCAGTAGTAGAATTATCACTTCATATACAGAGACCCAGGTTTGATTTCTGGTCCGTGCATCTCTAATATAGCCAGCACTTACATATCATGGAAGATTTGCATGTTGTAGTGTTGCTAGGCATGTTTTGGTAGAGCATTTAGAGTAAGTTTCACTATGAAGAAAAACCTGCAATCTACTTCCTCAAATCAGCCAGTGAAAATCTTGTGAATTAGATGATCCTATCCTGTTGGGAATGGAGTTGTCATCAGTTGGGAGACCGATTTTACAAAAGCTAATAACAACTTTGCTGTGGTCCCTATTGTGCATGGCATCTGTTAACAATTACTTTATTATTATGGATGAGAAGAATCTTAGGGTTTGGTGGTGTGTCTTTTTTTTTTATAAATAAGAAAAGGGCTAATTGTGCTGTCTGAGTTTTGTGAGGTATAAAAATTTAAAAAAGAACACACTTAATAGTAAAAAAGGCAAATTATCCTTCCTAGCTAATGTCATAACTAATGATATTAAATAAATTGACATATATTTATCTTAGGGTATATGTTGGAACCAGACCCTGACAAAAGGCCTGATATTTACCAGGTCTCCTACTTCTCATTTAAACTACTCAAGAGAGAATGTCCAATTCCAAATGTACAGGTAAGTGATCGGTGGTTTTTAGGGGAAATAAATATCATTAAATTGCCTCTTATAATCCCTGAGTGTTAATTAGCCTTTGTCAATGAATATAGGTGTTTCTTGCTTTATCTCTAAGGGAACTTTCAAGCAAAGCTAACTATAAAGTAGATGCTGTAAGATAATCCAGTTTTCCTGTGGAATGTAATTATAAAATTGAAGCAGTTACATTGAAGAAAACTACAGGGATTGAGGTGAACACTTTGAAAAAGATTGGCCAACTTGTTAAGTTTCATAATTCTCAGAAAGTCTGTTACCTCATATGCCACGAGGCTGCTGAAGAGAGGCCTGGACTTGCCCTTCTCCTTTGGGAACTTAAACCACTTTTTCCTTCTTTGCAGCAAACTTTTCTTAATTTTACATGTGTTATTGGCTATCTGAAACTAACTTTGTGATTCTTCCACCTTCTCAAACACACTGGAGCATATGTACTTAGTAATCATAAACTTTCAAGGTTTCCCAAGTGTAGTGCTTTTGAACACTTTTTTATAATCTGAGCCAATTTTTCATATCATGCTATAAACTAACTGGTAACTATTGAACTAGTGGATGCCATAATAAATTAGAATATTATTTGAAATAGTCTTTATCGTTTTCAAAATAATGGACTGTTATTGTCACTGTTTGGCTTGAGAGTGCTGATAAAGAACTCTTCCAGTCTCACTTTTGGAAACAGTGGCAAGGTTCATAATGTTGACTGTATTACTAATAAGGTTGAGTCAGAAAGGCATGGCTTGACTAGTCAGGCTGCCCAGCATTGGATCTACATGGTTAAGCTGTGATTGCCTAATTCTGATCGACTCTTCCATAAAGGAAGGAAGGGCAGGGTTAAGCAATGTGAGCTTGCTTTTTTCTCCCAGTCTCGTCACCTGAATGTTATTCTCGTTGGAAGGAGAAAAGCCTAAAATTAGAAAACTGGATCACTTAAGTTTTCCGGCAGAAAGTCCTTCCACATAGAAACATGAAGGAAATGGAATGTCCCTCCTAACAGTCAAATTGTAGCTTACTTCTGTTTGTTTTGTTTCCCACATTAGTCTGAGGATTTCTGCCCTTCTTGGTGGCAGCGTAGTGGGAGTGGAGTGTAAACTGCATCGACCAGAGTCATGGCAGAACAGGCCTTTAGAAAGTTTCTTCCTCTCTTTGACTGAGTATTGGTAGAAAGGAGTGCAGCTGAAACTCTAACCAAAGGAGAAATTGTTTCCAGAAAAATCTCTAGGAAAAGTATTGCAAGGAACAGTGGAAGCTGTTGAATCTAGAAGAAAGGGTGGAGAGATTTAACCAGTTACTGTGAAAAGTAGGGAAAAATTATTCTCCCAGCATATGAAGGCACTAAAGTAGCTATAGATGACAGGGATTACAACATTCTTAGGAATTAGGTAGACTGAAAAAAATCACTATTGAAACTACGTGAAGCTGCCCATTCCACTGAAATTCTGAAATCTTCCATCATGTAAATAATCTCTATGTCTCTCTTTTGTAATAAACTATTGATATCCAAACTAAGTAACATGAAGATTCCTACGTAGTAAGGTTATTTTTCGTGTTTTCTTTGCTAGCTCACTTTCCCATTCATAAAATTAAAAAACATGAAATGCAGTTGGAAGTATTTCATTTAGTACCTACTTTTAAAAAAAGTAAACTCCACCCCATGTCTAATGTCATTTGATACATAATCGGTAGTGGTAAGCAATTATTTTGTGGTTATGACCAGGTTATGCTCCTCAAGGGGTCGTACTAGATGGCTGGTGCAGAATCTAAGCTCAAGTAACTCTGGCTTGTGGACTCACACATGGGAAAAGGGTGTTGACTGAACAGTCAAACAAATTGGTGTCCCTGGAGTTTTCATTTCAACAGGAATGATTCTCTTTTCCCTTCCCTCCCCCGACCACTTGAATGGTATGGCACTGGTTTGCTGAGTTGGAAGTGATGCTTCAATAATAGAGATTGTAGACCTCTTTCTTTCATTCCTTTTATAATAGTACTTCTAAATTGTGCTATAGGAAGAAAAGAGTACTAAGTTCAGTGACCAGAGCTTAGTTCACAGGCAGAGGATATTGGCAGGGAAATGTGCAGTGTACAGGTGGCTCTCTCATCTTAAATAATTTGCTGCCCCAGTTGAGCATGTGTTAGATGGGATATGCATTTCCTGAAATTCCCTTCTCTCTAGCAGAGATCAGGCCTAGAAGCTGCTCTGAAAAACTGTAATATATATGTCCATCAGCTGTCAGGCTGGTTAATCTCTTTTAGAAAGCAAAACTGTGATGTCATCTTCTTCTCCTTTTAATTCTGTAGAATTCTCCCATTCCTGCAAAGCTTCCTGAACCAGTAAAAGCCAGTGAGGCAGCTGCAAAAAAGACCCAACCAAAGGCCAGGTAAGTATTGTCCTGATGAACTCCCTTGTCCAGTTTCTGCAGTAGCAGAAGGGAATGTCTTGGGTGTCTTTTTTTCTACTGCCATGCAATTTTTCCACTACAGTGACCCAGAGACTGCACAGAACAGGAGAGCAAGCTCTGCTTCCTGAAAGGCAGAGGCTATCCTGTTCCTTCTTGTGGTGTTACGTGCTGTCAAGTCATCTACAGTTCATAGACAGCTTATGTACAATGCTCTGACCTTGCTTTACATTGAGCCAGTCTCACTGGCATCTGATACATGTGTCAATCCATCTCATCCTAGGCCTTCCTCTCTGCACTGTCCCTCCACCCTTTTAAGCATGATAACCTTCTCCAAGGACTGTTCCCTCCTGGCCACATGCCCAAAGAATGTGAGATGGAGCTTTAAAATCCTTGCCTCCAACGAGTAGCCTGGTTTCATCCTCTGCAGGATAAACCTGTTTAGTTTCTTGGCAGTCCATGGTATGTTTAGTCCTCCTCTCCAGCACCGCAACTCAAAGACACCAATTCTTTTTCTGTCAGTTTTGGTCTTTGCCCAGCTCTCTGATGCACACCATCAGATGTGCTGATGAAGACACAGCTCTCTGATGAAGACCATGGCCTGAATCCTACATACCTTATTCTTCAGACTGACATTGTTGCTCCTCAGCATTTTTTCAGAGACATTGTTCTTCAGCATTTGACAGCCCTTTTCCCAAAAGCGATTTGTCTTTTGATGTTCTGACTGCTAGTGCCAAGAGTGTTGATTGTGGAGATAAGCAATCTAAAATTGTTAACCTCAATCCCTTCTCCTTCTGTCATGATACTGCCAATTGGCACAGTTTGTCTTTTTTTTTTTCTATATTTTATTAATTTTCATAAACATTTACAGAGATTTTGGGTTTCCATTCATTCATTGTTGCACTATTCTCTCTACCCTCCTCCCAGTTTGTTCTTGTCCAAATGCCACAGTGCTTGTCAAAGCCAGTTCTGATTAATCTTCTTTGTCAGTGTGTCCTTTGCCATTCCCTATCACTCCTCCCTGAGAGAGACTTCACCCTGAGTCATAAGGGAAAGGGGATGGCGTATTCTCTTAGCTACTTCCTGCTGAAAAGGGACGCTGTGGGTTTCAGGGTGAAGATCTTCTCTCACTACTCTAAAGGGCCCCTTTGGCAGTAGGAAACACATAGACTGTTACGGAGATTGATTTTGGAATTTAGATGCACTCTTATTGATTGTGCTTGGCCGTACATGTTCATATCCTTGAAGATGTATCATGGGGGTGTTGCAACCTAGAAGACACAAATTTGACTAACAAGTTATAAGTACATGAGTCCAAAAATTATGGAAAAGTAAAAGAAAAGATTCTTTCATTGTTTTACAAACCCTCCCCCAGGTCCCCTCCACCATGTAGCCCTCGCTCTAGCCTCCTGTGATGACAGAAATACCTAGTTATATATCTCTTTTAAACAGTTTTCTCCCTCCTCTGTTTCAGTGCAGTATACATTATTGAACCCATCTTACTCAGTCTCTCCCCAACCGCAAGGACAGTCCCATTCTACAACAGTGGCATCATGTAATATTTGTCCTTTTGTGACTGGGATATTTCACTCAGCATAATGTTCTCCAGAGTCAACCATTTTGAATAATATTGCATGAGTTCCTTGTTTTTTAATGCAGCATAGTATTCCATTGTGTGAATATACCACAGCTTCTCTAGCCATTCGTTTGTCTTATTGATATCAAACTTCAATTCATACTGAAGACTTCATTCTTTGTCCTTCTGCACCAAACACCTCAGGTCCTCCTCAGTTTCTCCAAGCAAGATTGTGTCATCTGCATAACGCAGGTTGTTGATGAGTCTTCCTCCAATCCTGAGTCCACATTCATCTTCATAAAGTCCACCCTCCCAAATAATCTGTTCCACATATAGATTGAAAAGGTATGGAGAGAGGATGCATCCCTGAGTCCTTTCTCAGTTTTGAACCATACAGTATTTCCTTGCTCTGTTCTGACTACTGCCTCCTGTTCCAAAAATAGGTTTCACATGAGCACAATTAAATGTTCTGAGATTCTAGTTCTTCTCAAGGTTAACCATAGTTTGTTGTCATCCACGTTGTCAAATGCCTTTGCATAGTCAATGAAACACAAATTGACATTCCTCTGGTACTCTGCTTTCATCCAAGATCCAGCCCACATTAGCTATGATGTCCCTAGAACCATGGCATCTTCTAAACCCAGCCTGTATTTCTGGTAATTTTCTATTGGTGTACTTTTCCTATCGTTTTGGGATAATCTTCCAACAGGATTTTGCTTGTGTGAGATATCAGTAATACTGTTCAATAATTCCCACACTCTGTCTGGTCACCCTTTTTTTGGAATGGGAACAAATATGAATTTCTTCCAGTTAGTTGGCCAGGCAATGTAGTGTGCATATCTGTATAATAAAATACTCTCAGAGCAGCTGGGGTTCCGGAGGTAGGTGTAGTTGGAGACAGTGAGACTGGCTCAGGATAGGGTGAGGTTCAGAGCTATTGTACATAGTGCTGCTATGAGTCACACACAAAATTCACAAGAACAAATATTTGAAAGAAAGTCAAGAACTCTATTCCACCTTTGCTTGGTAGGCAGAAAGTGATTCAGAGATAAGGCATGAGCCCAATGTTAAGTGTCCTAGCCATGTATCCTGGGCTGAACGTGGCCTCTTTCAACATCTCAGTCTTCCTCTTTCCTTCTGGCCACATTACGAAAGTGCTGGTCAGAGCATTAGATCCCTAAAAAGTTTTAGCTAATCACTCTATTACTTGAGTCTTCAGAGAAGTAGCTGTCAAAAGAGGGTTAAACAGAGAAACTTTTATTAGAGGAAAACTTCAAGAGAAAGAATATAGGGAGGAGCCAGTAAAGACTGAGCTTTCTCAGGAGGTGATAAAGTCTGACTCAAAGATTAAAAGGTGAAGCTTGGGTGGACACAATGTAGTGTGTCCTGCCATATAAGTTAGCTGACAGAGAAGTTTCTCTGTCTCCCAAAAAGGAGCCTGCCTTTATCTCTGTATAGCATTCAATCACTGGCTTGGAGCAGCCTATGGGAAGCATAGTATTGACTTTAAGAACACAACCTTTGAAACCCTTGGCGGTTTATAGTCAAGGAGTTGTAATCCTGGAGTCTTCCTGGAGGCTACATCTTCCACTGATCGATTGTTAGTGGCCTAAGAGATGTTAATACTCTTCAGGGAAACTGTCACCACACTATCCAAGTGGCAATATATGAAGTTTAATAAAACACTAAAGTAACTTCTGTATTTAAAGAGAAAGATCTTGATAATTTACAAAGTGCTTATTGTATGCATGGAGCTGTTCCACATGTGGCTCTAAAGTAAGGGGACATTTGTTATTTTTTTGCTGTTATTTTTTTTTGGTTTTTTAAACATATCATGTATTAACTTTTCTATTTATTAAGATTGTTCTGTCATGCTTACCTCTTTTAAACTTGTTTCTGGGATTCATTTAATTAACTTAGTGTTTTGAGCACCTTGTGGTGGTGGTGGTTGTTGCTGTTATTTACCATTGAGTCAGAACCAATACATAGCTGACCCTCCAGTGGGTATTCCAAGGCAGGTTTTGAATGCTTTATGATATATTTAATCATACTGTGTACCAAAACTAAAAGAAAAAGATCTCTTTGCCTGTTTTAAAAAACCACACACTACAAATTGTTGCTGTTATTGTTATGTGCTGTCGAGTTGCCTGCAACTCAGCAACTCTATGTACAGCAGCCCTAAACCCTGCTGACTATCCTATGCCAATCTCACTGTCTCCCACACACTCACGCCAGTCACTGAGTCAATCTACCTCATAAAGGGTCGTCTTCTCCTGTGCTGTCCCTCCCCCCTCCTAAGCATGACATCCTTCTCCAAGAACTGGTCCCTCCTTACAACATGTCCAGAGTATGTCAGATGAAGCTTCAGAATCCTTACCTCCAAGGAGCAGCCTGCTTTCACCCACTCTGGGATGAATCTGTTTGTTTTCTTTGCAGTCCATGATATAGTCAATACTCTTCTACCACACCACAGTTCAAAGGCATCAGTTCTCCTTCTGTACTCCCTAGTCATTGTCTAGCTCTCTGATACATAACAAGTGATTGCAAAGACTATGGCCTGTATCAGGCACACCTTAGTCTCCAGAGTGACACCATTGCTCTTCAGTACTTTGGAGAGGTCCCTAAACAGCAGACTTTCCCATTGCAGTGCGTCTTTTAATTTCCTGGCTGCTGGTGCCAAGAGTGTTGGTTATGGAGTCAAATAAACTAAAGCTGTGAATAATCTCAATCTCTTCACCATCCATTATGATGCTTGGCCCAGTGGGGAGAATCTTTGTTTTCTTTATATTGAGCTTCAATCCATATTGAAAGCTACTGTCCTTGACCCTCTGCAGCAAGCACTTCAGGTCCTCCTCCGTTTCAGCAAGCGGGGTTGTGTCATCTGCATAATGCAGATTGTTGATGAATCATCCTCCAATCTTGATGCCACATTTCTCCTCATTACAGCCCATCCTTCCAGATAATCTGTTCTGCATACAGGTTGGTAAAGTATGGAGAGAGGACACATCCCTGGTGTACGCCCTTCCCAATTTTGAACCACACAATGTTTCCTTGCTCTGTCCTGACGACTGCCTCCTGGTTCAAGTATATGTTTCTCGTTAGCACGATCAAATGTTCTGGAATTTCCATTCTTCTCAGAGTCAGCCACAGTTTGTTGTGATCCACATAGTCAAACGCCTTTGCATAATCAATGAAACACAGCTAGACATATACATATGTGGCACATATATATAGAGGTATATATGTGTGTGTATTTATAGTTGTTTTTGTGTGCCATTGAGTTGATTCCAACTCATAGTGACCTTAAGTACAGCAGCCTTTGCATAATCAATGAAACACAGCTAGACATATACATATGTAATACATAGATATACACATATATAGAAATATACATATATATACACAT